TAATAATATAATATTTACTGAGGAAAAATGGTGCCGTGTTCAATACTTATTTTACCCGCTGTAATTGTCCTTTCTGCTGTCTGAAAGGGCAGAAAGTGGAGACTAGAATCTGAATCCTTGTATACCCTTCTGTTTTTGTACTTGAGGATATTTTCATGAGACAGAAACAGTCAGAGACAGTCTGAGTAAATCTGACCAGGAGAAAAAAGAAAGTGATGAGCAAAGAGCATCAGCATTCATCGGGTTTCCCTGTGCAGCCTTGAGGTCACATTTACATTCTTATTAAAGTAGAGTCCTCCATCACCTGTGGGGCCTGCCATCCAAACAGGTAAAACATAAAGCTCTACAATATAGCAATCTATTCACCCAGCCATGGGGATGCATTGAACTCGGCTTGCCKTCGACTTTACCTTGCTGTCTACAAGCAGGTTCCGTATGCATCCCGTGTAGTGCTTGTGTTGCAGCTGAGGATATTCATATGAGATGTTCTCGTTGACTCCTCCGAGCTGCAGCACGTGACTTCCATTCAGGTACCTGAGAATGAAGAGCAACCGCAGAACGTGAGCTGAAGGGAAACGAAAACAACGACCATGTCACGTTCTCAAGGTTACAATTCAAAACGTAGCTTCACAATAAAAAACAAAAGAAACACAAACTGCAAGCAGATGGATTAAAGCACAAACACACACACTACACAAGCTGTCAACGTTAAAATTCATCGTTTCCTTCCGGTTTCACTGAGGCTGTCATGACTTTCTCTACCTCCAGCAAACAGATGTGACACCTTTTTTATTGTTCTGTTCCTCTTATTTTGAAATCATGGTGATAGGTAAATTGCATTTGTCAAAATCAATCAAACTCCAAAATGATTTGCTACAAAACTTTTACTATTTTTCCAAACTGCACACCCGATGTGATTACTCCTCCGTCAAGGCAAAAGTCACAGCAGAGCCTCAGTAAGACATTTTTCATGCTGTTTATTTGCTTGTCTGTCAGCCCAGATACCAAATTTTATTTAACCTATTATRAGAAGGAAAAATCCATCAAATGTATTTAATGGCACTAACTAATCCATCTTAAACTGAAGCAGAGTCAAGACAGCACAGGAAAATCTCTCCCAAAATGTCTTAAAATGTTTTACAAGTAACAGAAAACCTTCCACACATTGTTAGTGTGTGTACAACATTAACTTAATAATCTTTCAGCCTAATTGCGCAGCATAATAATGAGCTCAGATTGGCACACCAAGGCCATGGTGGCAGTAAACAAGCAGAAGCTGTAACCAAGCAAAAGCTGCTCAGAACAGACACAGTTAGAGATTAATTGGCGTTTTAAGGATTATATCTGAGAAATTCATTAACAGTTTTGTCCCCCCAGAGAGGACAGTCTGGCACACTGAAAGCCTGAAACATTTTCAGTCACCATCTGATTTCATTTTAATAAATAATACAGCCTGAATTTTTTTTATAAACGGCATTTTAGAAATGTCTTTCTGAACATGAACAGTGAGAATATGGAACAACCTTTAATGTTTTTTCATGCTGAGTGTTCATAAAGAAGCTACTTAAGATAAAAGGACCATGGGGATGTCCTGGTTTTGTGAAATATTTGAKTTTGATAGATGCTAAATTTAATTGTGACCACAAGAAATTAATGAGCGACTGCTTGATGCCACCAGATTTAAATGGTAGATCTAAAACACAACTTTCTCAGGTTCTTTCTTATTATTCTTCCTATTTTTTGTTATTATTATTTTTGCTAAAGTCAAGAATCTAAATCAAAATATCAGGCAAAATGTGTTTGAATTTATTGTACTGCTAATTGCATATAAATTAAAGGAATWGGATTCCTCATAAGGAAGTAAACTGCAATGCAATTAATTGGCAGAATTTTATCTTTCATTGTGTTTTAAGAAATGTTAGCAGTTCTGGTTAGTATATGTGATGGAACATTAGGGCTGCACTACAAGATTTTTTTATTTTATTAATAATTACAAGATTTAAGTCATAATACTATGAAAATAAAGTAAAAATACTTTGAGAATAAAGTAAAAATACTTTGAGAAAAAAGTAATATTATGAGAATAAAAACCAATTTAGAAAATGCGCCCACATTGGAAAAACTAGCAAGAGTAAACCTTTGATGCATATTACGTCATTGGTTGCCTTCCAAAAAACAAAAAAAACAAAAAACAAACAAAAAAAGGATGACAATAAAATAAAATAAAAAATGAGAATTAAATCATAATATTATGAGAATAAAGTTGTAATATTATGATAATAAAGACATAATACTAAGATAATAACATTGTAATAGTAAAAAATGTTATATTATGAGGAAAAATAAGTTGTAATATTATAAAAATAATACGAGAACTCCTAAACAAAAATAAATAATCTGTCTTACCGCTGCATTAAAATGAATAATGTTGAGCATCTTGTGAAGTTATACTTTGGTATCTCTTTTACAAACAAGAAACTACTTGATTTTTTAACACATCAACATCATATTATTATCAGTAGCAGGACACTGAACAATTGTGCAAATAATTATATGGATTCATATAATAAACTGAAGCAGTTTGGTATTAACGGCTGCATTGATGGATTCAGTTGTCATATTGTGGATGGAAGCATATTATAGTGAACCAAAGTATTCGTGGATTACTGCAGAAACACAGTGAGGCTCATARAGGCTGTCTGAAGCAGGTTTGAGTCCACCCGGAAAGTGTATACATATAACATGCTATGAATTTTTCTTATAATAATACACCTTTTTTTCTTGTTATTTCATGACTTTATTCTTGAAATATTACAAACTCGTAATAAAAAAAGCTTGACTTGTAATAAAAACCTAATAGTCTGTCATAAGCATCTGTTGCTACTGACCCAAATGAAAACCCAGAACTTTTATTTAAATTTAAATTACATATTTAACAGAAAAAGATTATTAAAAATCAAGCCTGACTCAGCATAATTGCTGTTTTACAGCAGGTTCCTGTTCTGCAGCACATAAAACACTCAGAAATACAGCATCACAATCACATCATTATACACCATAGACACAAAGACAAACAAGCACACCAAATTTCAGGAAGGCAGCATTTGCAAAATAAGACGTCTAAATATGAGCACAACAAAAAGTGTCCAGCAGATGGCAGACAAGATTCTTYTTAAAGGGCTGTAGTTTTGAAATGGACTTTATGTTTTGAGGAATGTCATTCCATGCTTTAGTATAAACATAGAAGAAAGACCTCTGGCCGTAACAGTTTTTAAAAGTTGGTAATATCAGTTGTCCTTTTGTAACAGATCTAGTTGAATGACCACTTCCAGAATTTGATTTGGGCAGCAATGCACAGAGAGTTCCATAATTGGCACCTTGGAAGATCTGAAAATATAAATTAATACCACTACACAAAACATAATTCTGAAAAGTCAAGGCATCAGACAATGAAAGAACTGTGCAGTGATGAGTATGAATTTTGTAGGCCCTGTTGTAGAGCCTAACTATGGGTTCTAAGATTTCATTTGTTGTAAGAGACCAAACAGGCAAACAGTACGACATGGTTGAGAGTATAATGGCATGAAGATAGATATTTGAAACAGAAGATGTCAGATTGGATCTAATTTTTGAATAAACGTATAATTTCTGTTTCAACTTAGTGGTTAAGACTTGTACATAATCACAATAAGTCAAATGAGAATCCAAAGTAATTCCAAGATATTTGTAGGTAGTGACAATATCAAGGGGTTTGTTTAAAAAAGTGAGTTGATTTGTTATATTGAAATGTCTCCTGGGTGAGGAAAAATACATGCGCACAGTTTTTTTAACATTAATTGACAAAAGATTATCTTGAAGCCAACCATGAAATGTCTGAAGATCTGCTTGTAACTGACTATTAATAGATTCAATATTGAAAACAGACAAAAAAAGAACAGTATCATCAGCATACAATAAAATATTTGAATACTTCAATATTTTTGGAAGGTCATTTATGTATAATAGGAAAAGCAATGGCCCCAGTATGCTACCCTGCGGAACTCCCACGGAACAGGGCAGAGACCCGGACACAGAGCTTCCACCTACTTTTACGTTCACTGATTTTATCAATATAATTAGTGGTGAATAAAGCTCATTAAAATAAAAAATATATATATTTTTAATATATTTCTGTACAATTTTTTCCAGTCTTACCTGTCCCTGTTGGGTGTGACCCCTCTGATTTCGCAGGAYGAGCGGTCCTCGGTCATGGCCCATGTTTCCACACCTTCCGCCTCCATGACAATGGCACTGGAGCATCGATCCAGAGTGAAGCGCACTTCCTTTAAATTAGGGGAGAATGGAGAGAGGTCATCGCCGCTGCTTTCAGAGAAGAGTTAGAGTGTAGCTGACACTCTGTTGTGGAGGATTTATTCTAATCTGACATTTTCCCTGCACACAAGGTGAAGACGTAACAGATAAATATACTGCTCTCACTTTGCTGTTGCTCTTCACATCAAGGCGATGCCAGCGTCGGTCAGACACCCCGACATTTGTTAACTGGAGGACCAGGGTTCCAGAACCATGATTGATTTTAAGGCTAGGCATCCCACCAATCAGCTCTGTGAAAGATATTGATCAGAATTAACACAAACCACTGATCACCACTGCATTTGAGTACAAAGATTGCAAGTAAAGGTAAAAATCTTTTTTTTACACTATGGAACAAACAGAGAGAGAGAAAAAAAGAGCTTAACTTGCTGGCAAATATAAAATATAAAGGCAGAATCAATAGAAAACTGTGATGAAACGTGCTGCAAACCTAGAGAAGGGAGGAAAATACAGCTCTAAATATGCAGACTGAGAAGGAACAAAGCAAACTCTTAAAAATCTGTGAAATGTGGGCACTACAAGGAACAATAACAATGCTATATAACACAACTGGTTCACATTAGTTAAACAAATGGCACCAAAAAACATGCCTTTACAAAGTAAATATTTGTCAAATAGAAAATGAAATAAATCTATTTCTGTGTCAGCTTCACTTAAATAAAATATTTACTAACTTTTTACAAAATTGAAATGAGAAATCCCCAGGTTCGACTAAATAAAATGGTGTAGCTGTTTCCCTCTGTGCTTTATTTTTTTCCTGTGAAGTGGACCACAGAAGGTATTCAAGCATGTAAAATTCACACTTCAAATAGCGAAAAAAAAAAAAAAATACTCATTTCGAGAAAAACCGTGACCGGAAAGAACTTGAGATTGGTTCATCACTTTAACTGCAGTTGACACCGGTTATTGCTCCTTGCTGGTGTGACAAAACTGTTCAYGTCCAACAGGCTGAGGAAAAAGTAGAAACATTTACTTTGTTTATTTGTTAATTATTCGTACCAGGTCTTAACACAACAGCATGTGATGTAATGATTTTTTTAACGTTTTTTTCTGTGTTTGGGGAGATATTTTGGGGAGTCTGAAGTCACTTCCTCAAAACCCCAGAAAGAAAAACACAAAGTTGACACTTTTGTTTTGGCCCCTCAGGGTTTGAAAATGTCTCATTCAGTGAGCCATTCAGATTTGCAGGAGAGAAGCGTGTCACTTCTCCAACTATAAATACTTTACAAATCCAACCTCCTCACCTTTTCTCTACCCACATTCCACTTCAGCTAACGCTGCATTCACAACACCTCAGAAGTAGATAATCAAAACTTTCTCTTTGCTTTTCACCTGCTATTAACTGTGAGTTTTCACCGAATCTTTGTCAATGCTTTGTCTACGTTTTAAATCTGGATGAGACAAGCTTTATCTTTATTCCTTGATGAAGCCTGGAAATTCTAATTTCCTGCTTAACATAAAAAAATCTGGGTAAAAACTGAAAAAAACGGCAATTAAAATTTTTGCAAAGAAAAAAAATCTGAAGAAAAGCAGAAAAAAAAAGGAATTGGAATTTTGTTGTATTTTGACCAAAATATGCCAAAACATTAAAAAAATGGATAAAAAGGTCTCAGCAGGTGAAAGAAAGATGTCTTGAAAAAAATAAATAGGATTTGTATTTTTTCACTCTTGTTCTTCAAACTGAGATAATGTCCCACATTTTGACTATCTCAGCAAACATCCACGGCAGGACAAAGACTTCTGACAGATTTTGGCTTCCASAGAAGATTCTTATAATAGAGGTTGTGTTTAATGTCAAACTGTGCACCTGTGGATCAAGCCTTGGTCATCCTAACGTCTTTACAGCCTGGATTCACCCAGAGGAGGAAAAATGGGTGAACACACAAAAAGGCAATTTAAGCAGTGCGGATTTCAGCAAAAAAAATATTCCAAAAAAAAGCCACACAGGAGAGGRAAAACTGCTACAACTAATGTGTCGCTGTTAAAACTGCCACTGCCAAATAGATTTTAGAAGGAAGAAGCAGATAAAAACCTGCGTTTACCACACTGTGCTGTACTAACTTGTCATTTTCTAGTTTTGGAAATAGATTGAAAACAAATCGTAACATTAAAAAAACTAAATCCCTTCTCTTTGAGGTAGAAAAAAGTCAAGCAGACAATCAGGTTGTGTTTGGAGCTGGGTGAGTTAAAATAAAAAGACATTAAAAAATAATCTTTGTTCGAAAATTGTGTGATTAGGATGCTTTTGACAGGCTTTCCTTGTTTTTGTCCTACAACAAAATAAAATATTAGGCTGCTCTTCTTCTTAATGCTGCTTCTGTTAAGTGAGGTTTAATGTTTTTTGTCAGAAGTCACTGTTGGTTCAGATTCAGTTTTACAAACCTAGATCACGCTGTCATGTTCTTTTTATAGCGAAGAGACCCTGGTAATCTCTCAAATGAATCATGCTTTGCTCAGTTTTCTTTTTCTGATGTAGTGTCATAAACCTTTAACATTTAATATGGTAACTGAAGCTTGTAGAGTGTGAGATGCAGCTCTTTACACGGCAGCATTGCACAGTTTGACCTTGGCGTGCACCTGCATGGAGACCCACTCCTGGGAAAACTGGTACCTGTCTGGAATGTTCAAAAAACTTTTCTGCTGTAAAAATATTATTTGGAAATTAATTGTAAGTTTTCTCGGGTTGATAGAAAGCAAAAATATTGATATTAGGGGAAAAAAAACTCCAGCAGAACCTAACTCATGAGCTTCTACTGGCTGAGGTTAAAGGAAATTAAAATTTTAGTTGTTCATGAGATATTTTGCTAACACAGGAGAGGAAAAACTGCTACAACTAATGTATTGCTGTTAAAACTGTCGAAGTGACTGCCAGAGAGATTTTAGAAGGAAGAAACAGATAAATGGACAGAGGTGAATCCAAATCAATAAGAAAGTTTGGYAACATTTTAAACAAAAATCGAGTAATCTGTGGTCTCAGCTACAATGCCACCAAATTTTTGTAAAACATCTGTAGAATTGATTGAATTATAAGCCTTAGTGCATCGAAATGACTCTAAATTTAAAGCAGATGGAGATGTCCATTCAAAGAATACTTTCAGCAAGTTTCATTAAAATTCATTCGTGTTCATGAGACATTTTGCAAACAGAGACAGAACTGAATCCAAATCAAGAAACCTTGAYACAACTTTAAACAAAAATTTAACACAATCTATTGTCTCGGCTACCAGGCCACCAAATTTTAGCAAAATATCTGTAAAATTGATTAAGTTATARGCATTAATGAATCAAGTTCACTCTAAATTCAAGCAGTTGAAGATTTACTTCCAATAATTAGATTTGCCAAGTTTCATTAAAATTCCTCTAGTGGTTGATGAGATATTTTTGCTAAAAGACACATAAACACACAGACACAGGGAAAAAAAAACAAAAAAAAAACATTTGTCCTCATTTGCCTGTTGCAGGTGGTTGATAGAAAAGTTAACTAGTACTTGAAATTTTACCATTCATGTACACTCTGGCACTGAACAGGGTAAATTAAAGTCTACTGAGCACAGAATCAGTTTAAAAGTTTGACTGCTGTTCTACTGGTGAACTGGGGGGGCACATGAAAAATGATTACTTACAGTGTTAATCGTGAAACTGCTCAGTTGCTAAAGCATCACATTAAGTTCTGGCTGCATATCTCGGTTGAGCGAGTTGCTCATATGCCTCAGCAGTAAACAAAAACATAAAATTTACCTCATATTTGCTTGCTGATTAACTATTGCACAGTAATTAAACACACAAAATTAGGTTTTGGATTTTATATCCCGAATGCCTGCCCCGCCCTCCGCAACACTTTTAATTATTACCTCAGCCAAGGGAGGAGGTAATGTTTTCGGTCGCGTATGTCTGTCTGTCTGTGGACAAAGTTACTCAAAAACT